ACAAATTTGACACCTCTTATTGTTGTATTTTGCACGTGCACTGGGGGTGACCCACATGCAACGAGAGTATCCTATTTTTGGTAGAAGGGATGCTGCTACCATACAAAAATTACCGCAAGACAATCGCCCAAGCGGCTGCTGAGATATGAGCCTCTTAAAATCACTACTTTTGCGAAACAGCTTGAACACCCTTGACTTTTCACGTGGCACGTGCCACGACGGTCACTGAGATGTATCAAAAGTAGTCAATTACGGGGTAGAAGGGATGGGGCACCCAACAAAAAAGACCGCAGGCCAATCGGTCCGGCGGTTGCTGAGATATAAGCCTCTCAAAAGCGTTACAGGCCGGGCCGGGCCGGGCCGGGCCGGGCCGGGCCGCTCATACTGAGATTTTTCCGTTATATTGAAAAGACTCACTTCGCTCGCTGTGCTCGCTCGCTCGTAACCAGATGGCCGTCGTGAAAACGGCTATTATATACTTATATAATTACATAACTTACGACCCACGTTCAAGCGTCATAAAATGGGTGTAGCGGACGCACCCGGGGAACACCTACACGGGCGACACGGTTCCTCGGCACGGGAGGCACGGGATCTGAGTACGGCCACGACACGAGCCACAAGGATCGAGAGACACAGAGTCACTTCAGTGACCGGTGCGCCAGGCGACCTCCGAGAAGGGGTGTCCCTTTCCGTCCACCTCGCACCGCCAACAATAACATGGGGGCCGGTCGGCGCGGCTGCTGGTCCGTCCGACCCCGCCCGTCCGGCCCCGGCGGGACTTCACAGCCGCGCCCTTCGGCCGGACCGCTCAGCAAACAGACCCTCTGACCCCTCCGGCCCCGGTCAGAAGCCCCTACACCCCTCCCCCAGACACAGGACACGACTGCTGGCTTCACGACGGAGATGGACGGCAATGAAAGGTAAGCACACGAGCTATTGCGCGCATTGAGCGATCAGCGGTCCTTCTGGGCTCTATACGGCCTTGGGCTAAACACAACTTGAGCTCATTCCGTTTCAATGCGAGTCTTGTTCATACAGCCGGCTATTCTTCCAAGTATTTTTTGTTGTGTAAACGTCATCAAACCGGTTGTTTTGAGCTGCCGTTACTGGAATTTATATGTAGGTTAATTGCCAATTTAAGTAATTAAATTATTAAAAATTAAAATTAAAGGTTAATTAAAGTCAATTAAAGGTTAATTGCGGTTTTTTGCGGGTAGTGCCGATTTACGATACAAACTAATTGGTAGGCGAGCCATTGGGCAAGTTTATGGAAAATGCATTTTGAGATGCAACGTCGCGTGTTTTAAATTCCGGACGTCTAACCAGTCCCAGCATGAATAGGTGATAAATTATTACCTTTGTTGTTATTGAGCTGAATACAGAAGATGCCGACGACCGAGAGGTAGGTGTCAGATGCTTACCTAAACCTACCCGGTATAAGGTAGCCATTGCCCATACCCCACATCATAAATAAAATGCCACGCAGCTGGGATCTCTGTAGTTTATCATCCTGATTCCTGCCCACGTCAGCTCTGAGGTGATCGTTACCGACACACATGGTTCAGGCGCCGGTATCACAGACACGCTCTGAGCACTGCATTTGGCCGACAGCCAAACCGGTCATTTCCAATGTCATGTCGTTAGGCTCACTTCCGGCTTCGTGCCGCAAATCACGAACCCGGTGCTTATCCTGGACATCCTCTTCAATGTCCCGATAACTGCCACGAAACAATCGCGCCAGTTAACTGGCACTATCACGGTTGTCCTCGCAAACATGTCACGCATGGTCAGCGAGTACAGGCTCACGATTCGAGGTCAACAGAGTACATGTGTGATTCAAATGAGTCTTGCACATGACTGCACCGACAATACGCCACAGACGCAGCACGCAGCGCGGCGCCCTGCGAACACAGTCTCTCGGCAGCTGTCTGCGCGGCCAGTTGGACCCCGGGCGCGGCCGAGGCGCGCCGTCAGAGAATGCGCACCTGGTTGGCGCGGCTGAGGGCCCGCGCCAGCGAGCGTAGCGCCACGATGTCCAGCAGGCCGATACCGTGCCACGTCTTGACCCTGCCGAGCCGGCAGAGCGAGGGACAGCGGCGCAGCAGAGTGCTGGCGCCGCGCAGCCCCAGCTGGGCGGGCCCGATCTCCAGCACCTGCCGGCACAGCACAGCGGCGCCGGGGTCAGATTTCAGCGGTCAGATCTTATCCGACCAGTGTGGTCAGATACCAGCCGATCATCGGTCAGATCTCAGCGGTCAGTGGTCAGAAGTTAGCGGTCAGATGTTGGTAATCAGTGGTCAGATGTCAGCGGTTAGATGTCAACCGACCAGCGCAGCAGTCAGATGTCAGCGACCAGTGGTCAGATGTCAGCGGCCAGATCTTAGCGGTCAGATCTAAACGGCCAACAGACAAAAGCCGCCCCCCAAAAAGAGTTGTTTAGGAACAGTTTCTTGCATTAACTTTTGATCCAGCAATATTTGTTGCATCAATATTTGTTGTACGTGTGGTACAGACATTTAAGGTCCTTCAGGTCAAGGACTCAAGGTCCTAGCAATGACAAACATGAAAAATGTTGCAAGGGATTGGCAACAGAACTGCAAGTCACAAGCTGACGTAACCAGTTTACGAGACGGGACATTCCCCTTGCACCACCAGTCAGGGGCGGAGCTTCCTATACAGTTGGTGGGGCGACTGCCCCACCAACTAGGTATTTTGCCCCACCAATAAGCGTTTTGCCCCACCAACTTTAGGTGATTTCTAAGACTTTGTTGCTTTGCAAATTAATCTCTTTTCGCATTGAATAGCTTTGTAATTTCTGTTTGATGCAAAATAATATGTCTGTAATGATAGGAATTGATTCAATGTGGCATTTTATTCAACTTTATAATCAGACATTGTGGGTTTGACGACTTTTTGCCCCACCAACTTCCCTGGAAAAGCTCCACCCATGCCACCAGTGAGACCGATCCCATTCCCCACATCTAACGACACATTCGGGCGGCGCTCTTTGCGATCGCACTAGGCATGCAATACGAGCCACCGAATCGTGTTGCACACTGCTCAGAGCCGCGGTTCGGACGGCATCACGGGCATTGTCCACGGCACATTATCGAGAGGTAGTATTGTGTTTGACCGCACGCTAGTCAATGAGCGACGAGCATTGGTTACCATACAATAACCAGTTTTAAGTTTATCCGTTTTAAAATAATGGCTTAGTTGATTAGGATTCAATGGAAATCGATGAGCATTTAAGCGGCCAGCTATGCCTAACTCCTAAGTCCGGAGTTCGCTCAGCTCGGTGGGACAGACCTCCAGCTCTGCGAGTGGGTTGTGCTCGAGGATGGTCTCGAGGTCGTCGTCGACGAGCGGGAAGGGCCGGCAGCGGACGGTGGTGAGTCGGCCGGCGCGGCGCAGCAGGGCGCGCAGCGCGGCCGCCTCCGCCGCCACGTCGCGCCCCCAGCTGGCCGTCACTCCCGACAGACAGTCGTACTCGAACGTGTGCAGCCGGTCGAGCAGCGGGCCGCGGCCGGCCGTCAGCGCGCGCGCCGCCTCGCCGTCGGACAGCGTCAGACTGGGCAGCTTGAGCACCTCTAGGCCCGGACAGTAGACGGCCACCTGGGCCACGTCAATAGTCTCGTACACGTCTCCCGAGATGGCGAGCGTGCGCAGCTGGTGACCGAGCCGCCACAGCGTGGCGCCCAGCTCCTGCTGCGTCAGCAAGTAGGGCTCCTTGCAGCGGAAAGTCAGGTGCTGCAGGTGCGGCAGCAGCGCCAGGTCCTGCAGCGACACGCCCGCCTCCTGGAACACCAGCGTCACAGAGCTCAGGTGCGGACAGAGCGCGGCGAAGTTGCGCAGGTGTGCTCCGGTCGCCTGAAACTCGGGCAGCTCGCGCAGACCGAACGTGGCGGGCACGTCCAGCTGCTCGAGCAAGGCCACCGTCTGCGAGCAGGCCACCGACTCGAGCAGCGGCAGCGTCTCCAGCAGCTCCAGCACGCCGTCCACGCTCACCTCCGTCTTCTGCAGGCCGAGCCGGCGCAGCGGCGGCGGCTGCGGCTGCTCGCGGCGCGCCGCCGCCACGGCCAGGTGGCGCAGGCCCTGGTCGGTGACTCCGGAGCAGCCGCTGACATCCAGCTCCTGCAGCAGCGGACACTGCCAGCTGACCACCTTGAGCAGCGCGTCGGTGGCGCCCAGCAGCTGCAGCCGCCGCAGCCGGCCGCAGGTCAGCGTCAGCTCGCGCAGCAGCCGGCGCGTCTCGGCGCCGTCCTCGGGCACGTAGACGGTGAGGTGGCGTAAGCCATCGCCGTGGCGCAGCACCAGGCGCAGGTCGGCCGCCGGCGGCTGTCCCGGCCGCGGGAAGCTGAGGTAGACGGCGCGGTGCACCACCACCTCTGCGCTGAGCAGCGCCAGCGCCGTGTTGGTCAGCTGGTCGCGGGTGTCGGCCGGCGCCAGCGCCGTGTGCAGCATCTCGGCGCGCAGCGCGGCCGGCAGCTGCGCCAGGTAGCGCTGCAGCTGCCACAGGCCGGCCGGCTCCGGCGTCAGCCGCAGCCAGCCGCGCAGCGTCTGCAGCCAGAACTTCTGGCCGATCTGCTGCAGTGACAGCGGGCACACCTCCACCCGGCTGCCGCGGCGCCCCTCCGGTACCGAGGACATGGTGGCAGCAGGCAGACACGAGGCCAGACGAGACGAGCAGACACCGCGGCGCCGGCACCGGCGCACCTTAACACTCTGAGCTGACGCTAAACAAAACCTTCAGAATGTTTGCAATGCAATCAGACCTCACTCGAACGATCCGTCAACACTCACTCGTCACGTCACCTCGTCACTCCTGGTAAACATTGGTGTCACTTCAGGTCACGCCGACCTCAGCGGGTAGCGCCACCCTCCCGCCGGAGGCGACCGCAGATGACTGGAGGCCGCTCCCAGGCGGCAGCGCCGGACGCTATTCTGGTCGCCCTGGTGGTCACGCGGTGAGTTCTGCCCACCGCGCCGTCCCTCCAACTGAGCTGAGAGCTGGCGGCGCGCCGCTGCAGCGCTCAGCGCGCAGGACAGGCGGCAGCGGCCCCCAGGTCACGCGCCAGGTCACACAGTATTGCAGCTGGCCTCTCCAGCACTGCAGTGCATCGCTGTGGTGCCACAACTGGGTCGACTCGGCGACGCACGGACCCAGCACCTCCGCCCAGCTAGCCTTGGCACTACTTTGTCGGAGAGCTTGGCACGGCGCTTGGTCGCTATTTTTAGGGGGGCGATGCCAGAGGCTGGCAGGCAGCGGCCGGGGCCACGGCGGCAGTGGTCGCGGCGGCGGCGCGGCGGCGGACGGCACGCGTGACTCGGCCCGGTGTCGTGCCGGGTCGCGGCGGGACGAGACGCCGAGTCGTGGCTGGCACCGGCTCGGCACGGCGCCGTCTGACATTGGCCGTGGCCCGAGAGACGGACGGATGGCACCCGCCCGGCAGGAAGGGGGCGGACGTCAACCCCACAGGTCGGCCAGTTAGAGGAGACGAGTGGGGAGGCGGGAAAAAAGATACGCCCTTTTTGTTCAGATGCTGCCACTCATGCTTGTTGTTCCTTTTTCCTAATATATTTTCATCAATTATGACTTTGCTTACTCAATAACCCTACTTGAGGGCAGGTCCTAGGGAGACATAAGGCTTATTCTTTCCATGTAACAATAGGTATGTGGAAAATAGGTTTTACGATTTAATTTATGTTTGCAAGCACGCGCATTTTCATGTAACCCTTTTTTCTTGATAGCCATAGCAAAACAAAACAGAAATATTTTAAAGTTAATTGAGACCGGAGGGTTAATGTGTTCGGTAATACCCGATTATATTAAGAACTTCGAGAAAAAAAATCCTCGCCGGCCGAGGTGGGGGGGGGGGGAGGGATGGGTGCCCTAAGAATGTTTTTTATTCGCGATCGCTCGGAAGAAATTGACGACAATATGAGCTGAAAGCTAGCATACCGGACGTTTGATTCCAGCCTGATCTTGTGACACCGATCATCGACCTTAAATCTGATCTGATCTGATCAGATCAGGTCACGGACTTATGACTCAGGGGTGTAATTTTATATCTCTTTGTGGGGGCAGATGCACCCACAATCCTGAAATATGCCCCCACAATGATGAAAATAGACACACAAGTCTTATGTCACAAACACCCTTTCGAGAGCACGGCGCCCTTCGCATGCTCTAACGGCGTCCTCCTGACCGCCTCGCGTTCCTGGATAATAGCGTTTTTAATCACTCGGCGCCCTTCTGGGAGAATGGCGCCCTTTTGACAGCCCTGCGTCCTTCTCATGGTCTAACGGCGCCCTCCTGACCGTCTCGCGCCCTTATGTCTCTGTCCACCGTGCATCTCTCGACTGTTCGGCGCCCTTCTGGCCTCTCAGCGCCCCTGGACCACATAGCGTTTTCAATCACTCGGCGCCTTTCTAAGAGAATGGCGCCCCTTTTCATGGTCTCACGGTGCCCTCGTAACCGTCTGGCGCCCCTACGTCCCCACCAGCTTAGCATTACTGACTGCGCGGCGCCCTCCTGACCTCTCTGCGCCCTTGGATCATATAGCATTTTTAATCACTTGGCGCCCTTCTGGGAGAATGGCGCACTTGTCATGGTCTCTCGGCGCCCTTGTAACCTTCTGGCGCCCCTACGCCCCCTAAGCTGCCTGGCGCCCCTACAGCTAGGCACCCACAATCATTTTGGGAAAATTAGGTACACCCCTGCTTTCACCTCATAAATGAACCCTCTGCCCTAAAATGCCGGCTCTAAAATGTCGCAACTTCGTAACGCCCTCAGTGCTAGTGTCTATTTCACAGAGAAAAGAACCTTCCAGAACTGGTAACCTCCCAAATCTCCAAAACTTCTTTATCTCGTATTTTTCTTAAGGGTTTCCGGAGGTCAGGTTGGTCACGTGACCTCACCATTTTAAGTGAAGGGGCGAAATAGAAACTGCTATTTTGGCGCCGAAAACGATCGAAAACTTCATCAAAGGCGTGGAATCATGATCTCAAACATCCCCTGCAAGGCACAACACTTATCCCGCATCGGGCCGGTGCTGCTCAGCGTCAACCGTGCCGGGCCGAGGGGTATCTACCCCCCCCCCCCCCTAACTCGGCTCCTGGGACACGCATAAGCGGCTTTTGACAGAAGGGCGTCAAAAATCATGACGAGAATACTTCAGTCATGTTTTGGACAGGTCAAAGGTCAAGTCATCAGAGGCTATAAAAGTAAACTTTTGCCTGTTTCAAAACCGGCGCATACCTAGCTCTGGAACCAATAGAGCTACGGCGCCGCGCAAAAGCGCGTTCGATAGCTTTTTTAAACTCTTTTCGCTGTCACGCCCTCAGATGTGACCTAAGATCATCGGTTTAGCCTCAAGAGAAAAAAAAACTAGAAAAATAGCCGTTTTTAAGAAATGTTTTCGGTAATAACTTTTAATTCTAGTAAGGCAAGACATTAATATCGCCATCATCGTGTTCCTCTCGTCGAGGCGCGCCGAACGCATGTTATAATTGGATCTTGAAAGGTCATTTGGAAAATTTGACCTAAAGTCAAAGTCATGACCTGACCGGGAAAGGTCTTGTTGCATATGATCGTATCAGTCGACCCGTATTGTCGACCTGAACACATCTAAGGTGTTTTCATCGCTCTAGAGTCTAGCATGTCTCTATCAAAAGTTAGGTATTGTCGAAAGACTGCTTGGGACCTTCCATGACAATTCAGTGGCGGTCGCAGGGGGGGGGGGGCATCAGGGCCATGCCCCACCCAAAGGCAAATCAGGGGGGGCCATCATATCATTTGCCCCCCCCCCCCAAACAACCGATGGGCCCCCATGGCCGTATGGGGCCCTGGCCCGTATTCGATTGTCACGAGGCTCGAGAAACCCACGCCAGCCATTAACAGCTCCCATACCAGTCTTTGAGGGTCCTACACTGACCTCTGAGGGCCCTTCAGTGGCGGTCAAGCGTCCACATTGACCGCTGAGGACCCACATTGACCTCTGAGGGCCCTCCACTGGCCTTTGAGGGCCCCTAAACTGGCCTCAGGGGCCCAACCGGCCTCTGGTGGCCTCATTTCTGTCTCTCGAGTCCCAAGACTAACCCTTAAGTGTCTCTGAGGGCCCTGCACTGGATTCTGAAGACCCGATGTCGGCCTCTGAGAGCCCGCATCGGCCTCTGGGGCCCAACTTGGCCGTTGAGGGCCCTCCGCTGGTCTCTGGGGTCCAACGCCGGCCCATGCCGGCCTTTTAGGGCCCCACACTGACCTCTAAGGGCCCAATGCTGGTCTGTAAGGACCCACATTAGCCTCTAAGGGCCCCCCGCACTGGATTCTGAAGACCCAATGCCGGCCGCTCAGGGCCCGCATCGGCGTCTGAGGGCCCATCTTGGCCTTTGAGGGCCCTCCGCTGGCCTCTGGGGTCCAACGCCGGCCCATACCGGTCTTTTAGGGCCCCACATTGACCTGAGGGCCCCATGCTGGCCTGTAAGGACACACATTAGCCTCTATGGGCCCCGCACTGGATTCTGAAGACCCGATGCCGGCCTCTAAGGGTTCGCATCGGACTCTGAGGGCCCATCTTGGCCTTTGATGGCCCTCTGCTGGCCTCTGGGGTCCAACGCCGGCCAATGCCAGTCTTTTAGGGTCCCATTCTGACCTTTGAGGACCCCATGCTGGCCTGTAAAGGCCCACATTAGCCTCTGAGGGCCCCCCGCACTGGAATCTGAAGACCCGATGCCGGCCTCTAAGGGTCAGCATCGGCTTCTGAGGGCCCATATTGGCCTTTGAGGGCCTTCTGTTGGCCTCTGGAGTCCAACGCCGGCCCATGCCGATCTTTTAGGGACCCACACTGACTTCTGAGGGCCCGTGCTGTCCTGTAAGGACCCACCTTAGCCTCTGAGGGCCCCGTACGGGCTTCTGAAGACCTGATGCCGGCCTCTAAGGGCCCGCATCGGCCTCTGAGGGCCCATCTTGGCCTTTGAGGGCCCTCTACTGGCCTCTGGGGTCCAACGCCGGCCCATGTCGGTCTTTTATGGCCCCACGCTAGCCTCTGAGGGCTCCATGCTGGCCTGTAAAGACCCACATTAGATTAGCCTCTGAGTGCCCAATTCGGTCTCTGATGGTCTCAAACTGCCCTTTAGAGGCCCTGTACTGGTCTCTGAGGGCCCTAAACTGGCCCCTAAGGGCCCAAACCAGCCTCTAAAGGTCCCACACCGGCCTCTGATGGTCCCATTTCTGTCTCTGGGACCCAAACTGACCCTTATGTGCCTCTGAGGGCCCCGTACTGGCTTCTGAAGGATCGATGCCGGTTTCTGAGGACCCATAACGGTCTTTAAGTGCCTCATACCGACACCTGAGGCCCCACACTAGCCTCTGAGGGGGCCCAAAACTGGCCTATGAGGTCTCTACACCGGCCACTGATGGCCCTATTATGTTCTCTGGGGGCTCAAGCCTTACCTTTGGACGTCACGCACTTGCCTCTGAAGGCCCACATCAGCCTCTGGGGGCGTTCCACGACAAATCGACAAATAAAAAATTAAATTTGCATCCTCATATTTTATTCTTCGTTGAAAACTGGTGTAAGGAGTTGTGATGGGCGGGGAAGCCAGCTGTGGCAAGGATTTTTTTCTTCGAACAACGGTTTCCGAGATATAGCCTCGGGCAATTCCTGGAGTTTGCGCTGCAGCCCTATGTTTGGCGGCCTATAACTCAGAAACTATTGGTTTTTTTACGATAAAAACTTTATATGGTTCAAATCACAATCAACCAACAAACATTTTGGCTATCTCGGATTTTCAATTTTTGAAAATTTTGATCACGTGACCTTTTGTCCTATTTTTCGAAGAGTGACCTTGATATTTTCCCCACTGAAAGTTGCAATTTTGTCTGATGACGATTAAAGCCTTATCGATTGTCATTCATATGCGATAATAAAAAAGTGGTTATCGCCCTGCGTTGACCTCAGGTTAGGTCATTTTTATGACCTGTCCATTATTACGAGCGGGAGCGACAGCGAGATATCGAGAATAAAGCAAGATAGCGACAAGCGGTAAACGGTTAAGGGTACACACGGATAACGTCTATAATTTTTACGACGGTCATTTTTAGGTCAGGTCAAAGATGACGTCACAGGAGCTAAAAGGAAGTCAAAATAGCGGCACTATACATATATATGAAGTTTTTCTCGAATAACTTTCAAGGTATCCCAGCTACGAACAAACTAATAGCACCATCGTGATCCTCTCGTCGATCCGCATCGAAACATATGTTTGTTGACCTCGAAAGGTCGAAAGGTCAAAAGTTGACCTTAGATCACGTGACCTAAGGTCAACTTTTGACCTTTCGACCTTTCGAGGTCAACATACATATGCTTCGATGCGGATCGACGAGAGGATCACGATGGTGCTATTAGTTTGTTCCTAGCTGGGATATCTTGAAAGTTATTCGAGAAAAACTTCATATATCTGTATAGTGCCGCTATTTTGACTTCCTTTTAGCTCCTGTGACGTCAGCAGGGGCGTCGCCGACGGGGGGGTCGGGGGGGTCGCGACCCCCCCACTCGTCAGAACCGGGGGGGTCGACCCCCCCAGTTTTGGCGATGCTGAGTATGCTTTTTTTTAGCTATCATGTCAGGGAAGTTGGCGTCAGCTACATCAACAAATACGTCAGATTC